TGTTCAGTAAATATGTGCTTAAACTTGCTTTTTTTAAAAAACAAATTTAACATCCCTGGTCGGGCGTGGTGGCTCACACATCCCAGCACTTTGGGAAGTCGAGGGGGGCGAATCACCTGAGGTCAGGAGTTTGAGACTAGCCTGGCCAACATGGTGAAACCTTGTCTCTTCTAAAAATACAAAAATTAGCTGGGCGTGGTGGTGGGTGCCTGTAATACCAGCTACTTGGTAGAGTGAGGCAGGAGAATCACTTGAATCCAAGAGGCAGAGGTTGCCACTGCACTCCAGCCTGGGTGACAGAGTGAAACTCCATCTAAAATACTACCACTAATAATAAAAACAAATTTAACGTTCTTGATTTACTTAATATGTCATGATTTAGATCCTGGAAGATGGAAATCATCCAAAAAAGAAAATTTTTGCGGTCCAGTTTACAATGGCTAAAACCCTATTGGACATCAGGGTTTTTTGGTATTTTATTAAGCTAAAAGAGGTTGGTATTACCCCTCATCAGGCTTTCTATGGCTTCTCTGTACCTCTTTGGTCACTCCAACGTCACTTGAGTGGCAACCCCACTTCTGCTCCAGTTGACTAATCCTCTCTGCAGGCCAGCATACTAGGCCTAGGCACCTACCTCAATTGTGTTGCATGAGGATAAAAAGGTGTACCTGCTACAGACTAAGTATTCTATAAATGCACTCTATTGTCATTCTATCCCTATTTGGAACGAAATGAGTACTATCTAGAATCAGGGACCTGCTTTATCAGCCCTTTCTTCCACTAACAGGTCTTGGGGTTCAGTGTTTGAGAACCACCAGCCTAATCAATAGATGATAATTCAAAGAGTTTTCTGTGCCATTACTCATAAGGGCCTGATTCAAAAGCAAGTAAGCTAAGATTTATTGTCTATTATATTTCAAGCACTATTTACTTATTATTTAATATTTTTAGTAAATCATAATACAAAACCACAATAGACTCAGATAATTTAATTCCAAGGTTGTAGACCTATTAAACTGCTGTTCATGCTACCTGAAGCCAGACTTCTTTAAAGTGGAATGTGGTAGCATATTGTGGCCACCAGAGGGCACAGGTGGACTACACAGGGAGACAGTGTCAACTGAAGAAACTTTTGGAGCTGCCACTTGCAATTTCTCTGATGTGGTACAGATTGAGAGGGAAGGCAACAAAGAAAGAAGGAAGACACATAGGATGTTGGACTTGTTCAAACAATTTACCTAGAAGTAACTGCCTGGGACCACCTAATCCCCTCCATTACATACTATCTCTTCTCTAGAGACTTTTTCCAACCTATTAATAACCATAGGCCAGGCTGAGCATGGTGGCTCATGTCCGTAATCCCAGCACTTTGGGTGGCTGAGGCAGGAGGATTGCTTGAGCCCAGGAGTTTGACAGCAGCCTGGGCAACATAGCAAGACCCTGTTTCTACAAAAATGAAATTAGTCAGATGTGGTGGCTCATGCCTGTAATCCCAGCTACTCGGGAGACTGAGGCGGGAGAATTACTTGAGCCTAGGAGTTTGAGGCTGCAGTGAGCCATGATCGCGGCACTGCACTCCAGCCTGGGTGAAAGAGCAAGACCCTGTCTCAAAAAATGGCAAAAACCCCAAAAAACCCCCAAAATGAAAAACCATAGGCTATGTACCTGATCGTGGATAGACACTCAAGCTCTGGAAATGAGCCAGTATTAGGGAAATAATTACCCAACAAATATATCCATGTTTGCAATAATAACTTATTTAACCTTATAAACCCACTGCAGGTCATAGGAGCTCTAAGGATGAAGTACATGGCCCTACTCTCAAGAAGCTTAGTAGAGGAGATAGATGGGGCATGGGGGAATGAGTGGTAAATGTCATTTTAGAGAATATGCAAATAATATAGTTTACGCTTTATGAGTGGTAAATGTCATTTTAGAGGATATGCAAAGATATACAGGAATATAGAGGCGGACCCTAAAGAAGCCCCTGAATAAGAGAAGACGAATTCAGTAGGAAATGTTGCCAAGGAAAAGGGACATTTGATAAGTATCTGGAAGGAAAAGTAGGGAGTTAGGGAGATGGGGCTGGGAGGCAACTCCTGGCAGAACAGCATATACAAAGGCCTGGGGTATTTTTTTTTTTTAAATGGCCCATTTGGGAGCACCTAAGGTTGGTGGGTGGTATGCCAGGCAAAGGATGTGTGGTAGAACGAAAGGCTGGAGATGTAAGGGCAGAGTTTTTTAAGTCTTGTGGGTTAGACCATTTATTTTGAACTTATCCTAAAGACACTGGAGACCCCTTCTACTTGCCCTGACAAGTAGCAATGGTCAGGGCTGAAATAATTTTTATTTTTATTTATTTATTTTTTTTAGACGGAGTCTCGCTCTGCCACCCAGGCTGGAGTGCAGTGGCCGGATCTCAGCTCACTGCAAGCTCCGCCTCCCGGGTTCACGCCATTCTCCTGCCTCAGCCTCCCAAGTAGCTGGGACTACAGGCGCCCGCCACCTCGCCCGGCTAGTTTTTTGTATTTTTTAGTAGAGACGGGGTTTCACCGTGTCAGCCAGGATGGTCTCGATCTCCTGACCTCGTGATCCGCCCGTCTCGGCCTCCCAAAGTGCTAGGATTACAGGCTTGAGCCACCGCGCCCGGCCAATAATTTTTATTTTTTACTGAAATAATTGATAACTAGTATGGAGGCTGGATTGTAGAAAAGCAGATAAACTAGTTAGGCTGTAGATAGTACTGAAGAGAAATAATTTACACTGAGGGGTAGGAAAAACATGTTGGATCTGAGAGGCATTTACGAGGTAAGATGGATTTACTGTGGGAGTTGTAAAGGAAGATTTCATGAAATTTCAGGTTTCTGCTTAAGTGGCTGGGTCGCACCATGATCAAGGTACGTTACTGGGGAAAGGAAGACGAGTTCGAGGGTCATGTGACACGTGAGATGTCTCTGGGCATCCAGGCAGTTGTCTGGTAACAACCAGCCCTGGAGATTTCTATATAGACAGATAGACTGTTTGGCGTTCTAGAATGGTTAGGCTAGAACTATTTTTTGGCTGCCACAGATAGCAAGGTGATTGAAGCCATACATCTGGATGCAGTTATATAGAGTGGGCTTATAATGCAAGGTGTTCAACATATGAGAGCCCATGAGCCAACCTTTTTAGAACTGTATGTGTATACCTGCACATGTGGCTATTTCCCTGAGTCATACTTTCATCAGCCTCAACTGGATCTGAAAACAAAAAACTTAAGCAGTGAGTGAAGAGAGAAGAGGCCGAGGACACAAGCCCTGAAAGGACAGATGGGGAAGCAAGGCCCTCCAAGATGGCTGACAGAGATGCTTGAGAATGACTAAGTATACCTCACAGGGCTCTGGATCCCAGGTGCTGCTCACAGGCATCAGTGCACACTATGGTAAGACTGGAAGGACCCTTAGACTATTCAACTCCTTCACTCTGTGAGGTGGGTATGAGGTTGGGAGAATGCTCAGAGTTATTGCAAAAGGAGGACTAAAAACTGTTCTTAACCCTGTACCCTCATGAACTGAGAGAGGCATAAAGAGGAGGACATTCTGGGAGAGGCTTCATGGCATGTATAGGGTGAGGGTAGTGTTCTATTCCTTACAAAGTGGTGTGCTCCAGTCAGGAATCTACTCCTAGTTCTCTCACTTAGTCTTCAGAAGGTGTTGGCCTGTATTTACTGATGGAAAAAAATGTGGCTCAAAGGTCACTTGTCCAAACTCAAGAGTTAAGATAGTAGTAAAACATGATCCAAAATTGGGCTTTCTGATCCCAGCACTGTATGGAATAGGAGTCATGCATGCCTATAATCCCAGCATTTCGGAAGGCCAAGGCGGGAGGAACGCTTGAGCCCAGAAGTTCAAGATCAGCCTGGGTAACATGGCAAAACCCCATCTCTACAAAAAATAGAAAAGATTAGCCGGAGTGTGGTGGCATACACCTATAGTCCCAGCTACTCAGGAGGCTGAAGCAGGAGGATTGCTTAAGCCCAGGTCGAGACTGCAGTGAGCCATGATTGCGCCACTGCACTTCTAGCCTGAGCGACAGGGCAAGACCCTGTCTCAAAACAAACAAACAAACAAAAAACAAAAAGGGTCCTCAAGTAATCTAGTCTTCCTCCCCTCTTCACCAAAGGGTTAACTGACTCATTCAAGACCATAAAGGAAAAAGAATTGGATTTCTTTATGTCCTTCTCTGAGGACAGATCCTTTTGTTATAGCTGGGAAACATTAATGACTGAATTACTCTCCAAATGTAACAGATGATTATTTTATTTTATTTATTTATTTTTAGGTGAAGTCTTGCTCTGTCATCCAGGCTGGAGTGCAATGGCCTGATCTCGGCTCACTGCAACCTGACTCCTGGGTTCAAGCAATTCTCTGCCGCAGCCTCCTGAGTAGCTAGGATTACAGGCCTCTGCCACCATGCCCGGCTAATTTTTGTATTTTTAGTAGAGACGGGGTTTCACCATCTTGGCCAGGCTGGTCTTGAACTCCTGACCTCATGATCCACCTGCCTCAGCCTCCCAAAGTTCTGAGATTACAGGCATGAGCCACCACGCCCAGCCTAACAGATGATATTTTATTTTATTTATACATTTTTTTGAGACAGAGTCGCACTCTGTCATCCAGCCTGGAGTGCAGTGGCGTGATCTCAGCTCACTGCAACCTCTGCCTCGCAGATTCAAGCAATTTTCATGCCCCAGCTTCCTGAGTAGCTGGGACTACAGGTGTTCACTACCAAACCCAGCTGATTTTTGCTTTTTTAGTAGAGACAGGGTTTCACCATGTTGGCCAGGCTGGTCTCGAACTCCTGACCTCAGGTGATCCGCCCACCTCAGCCTCCCAAAATGCTAGGATTATAGGTGTGAGCCACTGAGCCTGGCCAACAGATGGTATTTTAAAACTCACTGGAGCCTAAATGTGTTTTAGTCAGAACCCTCCTTGCACTTAAATAATTTAAATACAGAGTAATGTAGTATTAGAGTAACAATTTATTAGCAGATAAAATAAATGAAACCTCTAAATCTCAACACACATACAGGATCTTACATAATAAACAGCATAAAACATAACCTTCTAGAAGAAAAGTATCTGCTATTAACCAACTCCCCCTTCTTTCCAGTAGGCTGCAATACATTCATAACTCATCCTCATCCCATAAGAGGGTTAAGCAATGATTTACATGGAATTACATCAAGGCACTTGCTTTAATTAAAAAATACAGGATAAAACATGTTCCTAAAAGTCATCAACCTTGAATAATTAAAGAAAAAACAGGCAGTATACTTTTTTGGTGAATAGACAAGACTGAGAATTTAAGTTCATTCACCTGTCACCCTGATATTGTCTTGGTTTGTATACAAAGTTGCAAAGAAGACAAAAAAAAGTAGTCTATTACATAGATCGGTATGTTCATATACACTCATTTCTGAGAAACAGAAGCCATGGCAACAACAGGACTCAAATCATAATTTTCCAACTGATTTGTGTGAAAAGGCAAGGGCTGTTTGATCCCATGTATCTTATTATTTTAGGGATGGCGCATGAGACAAGGGAAAAGAACATCTCCAAAATAAGTTGATTAAAGTTTCAGTTGAAAGACCTTTTTGGCTTAAGCTGCTTATCTACAGACTTACAAACATAGTATCTACAATAAAGGCGTTTTAGTGTCCTTCATTATTCTAGTTTTTACACTTCAGTCCATTCTTTTCCAATTTTATAACACTAAGATAAAAAATACACACCAGAGAATCCACTATTTACTATAATGCTTATTTTACTTTTTGTGTTTAACATGTTTACTTTAAAATTTCAGTTGCAAAACTTTTTTTAAAGTCTTTATCAGGATAAAAATTACCTTATAAAAATAAATCTCCCCACCTCCAACATCTAAATTCTGCATCCCTGAAAGTTACTAAAAGTTTTTAAACCTTAAAAATTTACCTTTAACATATTTCAACAGTATTTTAATACATGGACTATAGTAACAAACCAGCTGGTATATTATTTTATCCTTTTCCATTATAATTTTCATTCTTGTAATTAGCACCCAAGTTAATGATTCCATTCAGGATTATCTAAACTGTTTTTACAAAAAAAAAAAAAAAAAAAAAAAAAAACCCCCACAAATTAGGAGCCTAACAGCTTTCTATTTTTTTAATTTAAAAAACTGATTCTTTAAAAATTTTTTTTTTATTTTATTTTAGGCTCAAGGAAATTTCACTGCCAGTGAAATTTCACTCTTAATGCCACTCAATGATCTAACAGCTTCCTAAATCCAACTTCATTCTTTTTGCAGTTTAAGCCCAGTTTCAAATAAGGCATCACTAGAATGGATAAAGAAAACACTGAGATGGGGGAGAGACACATTAAAAAGCAGAAAAACTAAGCGAAATCTAAATCCTGTCAATTGGATGTTTACCATTTCCAGTGAAATCTTTCCCTGAATAGACCAGGGACATCACTGCCTCCTGCTCAGATCTCAGTCAAAGCTTCAACATGCTCCACAAAGCACCTCCCTAAGTACCCCAGTGCGTTCCCTGGGAGAGTTACTACACAGTCCATCTACTGGATTTAGTACCATAGTCCCAGCACTTGGCCCAGGGTCCTAGACTGCTGGCTGGGTCCTCAGAGGTATCTGAAGTAATGTCTACATTGATACAAAGAAACCTATGGCTCATCTGTAACAATACATAGAGAAACACAATTCATTAAGAACAATAAGGATCACAGAACTCCAAATGGATCGTTACAACTTCAAGACTCAATTTAAGTTACCAAGAAATGCACTGTAGCCCTTTTCTCACTTTTATATTCAGATCAGGGCTAACCCTAACATGTTCTTAAATGACCAATTACTAAGGAAATACCACAGCAGATAATTGCTGTTCTTGTTAAAACGTACTAGCAATTAGCATTAAAATAGTCTAATGAACTCATCTAACACCTGGACACATTTTTAAAGTTCATCATTTACCATATGTAAATTTGACAACAATTTTGACTTGCAATGTCTGCTGTTGTTTAAAAGCAAAGTCAGACTATCTAAGTCTTGTTTTCTTTTGGTCCTACTTAAAAAAGAAATTAGACATCTATCAGTTTTATTCCATCAGAGGCACAGATAGTACTACAGTCACTCAGTTTAGAAGAAAGACACCATGCTCCAGAGTAGGTCAACCCAGGCTACCATGAGCTCCTCAGCCCTTTCAGCTTTGGTGAATCTGTGACCCTGTGACGCTCCCCTTCTAGAAAGAGAAATTTGCTCTATAAAGAGACCTTGTTCTCAGAGGTATGGCTCCTAATCCTTGTCTCCCTATTATTGTGTGGGGGCTAACTGGGGATTGGATCCTGTTCAACTGGGTTCCTCTCTTTTCTGCCTCCACTGGTCAGATAATAGTCTTTTCAATGGTCTATTCTCTTCACTCCTCTACAATGTTTTCCTTAGTCTACCTGTGCACTGGCACACTCCAACCCTCTGGGTGTAACAACTTTAAAAATATATAAGGCTGTAAGAGTTCTAACCATCAAGAGTATACCACACTACATTTCAATTAAATGGTAACCATTTTATGATATTCAGAATTTTGTATATGTCAGTAATCACTGAGAAAATGCTTCATTTAGACTCTAAAGTTTAGAGTAAGCAAGATATTTTTGTATCAATATAGTGTTTAAAATAACGCCTCATGAACTAAAGTCCTAGCCTTTGGTCAAGAGAGCAAATGAAAACATTTTTTGTTTGAGACGGAGTCTCGCTCTGTCACCCAGGCTGGAGTGCAGTGACACAGTCTCGGCTTACTGCAACCTCTGCCTCCCGGGTTCAAGTGATTCTCCTGCCTCAGCCTACTGAGTAGCTGGGACTACAGGCACGTGCCACCACGCCCCGCTAATTTTTTGTATTTTTAGTAGAGACGGGGTTTCCCAGTGTTAGCCAAGATGGTCTCGAACTCCTGACTTCAGGTGATCCACCCACCTCGGCCTCCCAGCGTACTGGGATCACAGGCATGAGTCACTGTGCCTGGCCAAAAACGGTTTTTTTATTGGCAAATTAGGCTTTGGTTCCATGTTTGATTCCTCTGAATATCAGCAACCAAAACATTTTTAACAATATCCAAATACAGGCAACCTCTACCCAAGTAGAGAGGATGAAATGTAAATTCTAGTGACATCTTAAATGTTTCTACAAATGGCTACCAAAAGCAGAATCTCTTGTTTGTCTGGATGGATGGGACAAGTACAAACCAGAACATAATTCAAGGATTCGCTAACTGCATACATAACGTTCCAGAACTGTTTACATCCACATATGGACAGAAATTGCTGGTAAAGGTCAAATCCTGTTATCCCTGCTTCTGAGGGATTTTCCAAAGTCTGGCTGGAATTATATTTTTTGCTGTGTTGGTGTTGGCTAATTAAAACGTCTTAAGCATGTATTCATTACTCTGTTACAGGGTATTAGCCACCTTTAATAGTCTCAACTTAAGCCTGCCTTGGGAGAAGGGCAAGAGAGATTAAAAACAAGTAACTTGGCCAACTGCAGTGGCTCACACCTGTAATCCCAACACTCTGGGAGGCTGAGGCTGAAGGATTGCTTGAGCCTGAAGTTTGAGACCAGCCAGGGCAATACAGTGAGACCCCATCTCTAGAAAAAATTTAAAAAATTAGCAGTGTGTGGTGATTCATACCTATGGTTAAGATACTCAGGAGGCCAAAGTGGAAGGATCACTTGAGCCCAGGAGTTGGAAGCTTCAGTGAGCTATGATCACACTGCACTCTGGCCTGGATGACTGTCTCTTAAAAAAGAAAAAAGGAAAAAAATAAAGACTGACCAAGATACTGTGATTTTACTGCTATTATTCATAAGGTTGGATAGAAAGGGCAAATACTGGCTAAAAACAAACAAGCACAAATACAAGCAGCAATTAACATTTCTGGAATTCCAGACCCCAGTTCTAAAAGGATGTCAAAATTCAGGAAGTCTACATTTAATTATAACGTGAATCACCTATAAGACAGAAATCTAGACTTTCTACTGAGCGACTGCTTTGCTGTGATAATGGAAAGGTATTCTCCATGTCACCAAATGGGAGAGCTCTACCAACAGAAAAGCAACACTGGCAGCTTATGGAGCTAACAATAAAGCTAAGTTATATATATCTATATAGGATAATAGAGCTATAAAATATATATGCATTTTAAATATACATATTAAACATGTACATACTTAATATTTATGTCTAAAAGCATCCCACTCCAACAGATGCCCTACACATAGGATTTGCTTCTCATAAATATTTAAAATTGTTTAGAATCTGGGAACAGATTGAAAAATGATTTTGTGCTTTTGCAGTTTGCTTTTTTTTTTTTTTAAAAAAGAGGGCTGTTTCATAAATTAGTTCCCTATTCCTAACTTTGGAGAGCCTGGTTTTTTCTTACCTTTCAAGGTCCAAATATAAAACTATAAACTTTCAATATTGGACATTCTTGCTTTTTGAAAGGAAATTATTCAATTCATGACCTGTAGGCCAGCTATCATGAATAATACACCCATGGCACTTGGGTTTCATGAATGTGATCCTTCTAAATCCTCCTGCATAATAGCTTTAGGTGACTTGAAGAGTTAAAAGCTGTCATTGTCATCAATATTTACTGTACATCAAACTCATTTAAAATGCTGTTAGAAATTGCTGACAAGATTGTCACTGACAAAATTACCAGTTTAGGAAAGATTCTGTGGGAAACAAACTAGAATAATTGAAAGCTAAAACAGAGCTTAATGGTAGAGAAATTCTCAGAAACAAGGACGGACAGAGATCACAGAAAAGACAAGGAAGTACTCCTATTGTTTTTCTGATTTTGAAGAGCTCTTTGTGCTTACCTATTTATCCTAAACAGAAAGGCATGATTAAAAATGTCCAGTGTATTACAAAGGGTATTCTGTCTAATGTCAGGCTGGCTCTCAGGATGTTACAAACCTGCCCAGGTGTTAGACTTCTGATGAGACTGTGCCTTAAGGACAGGAATGGCACTTTCCTACTAAAAACTACTGCCATCTGGGGAGCAAAGACTGGGAATAGAGAACTACAAGAACAAACCTGTCTAGTTATGACTTTGTGATCCAGAAGCCTCTTGACCTATTGGTACTAGAGCAGGTGCAACATTCTTTTCCTCTTTCTCCACTGAGCCACATAAAGAAGTCTACAGCACTTCCAATGCAAATCCCAACTTCACCGCTTCATCTCTTGGAGAATGAAGAATCCAAATGTATAACCCCTAAAACAGGACAGTAATTAAGTTTTGGAGCTACTTTACAGTTCAATTCAATACATACTTATTGCATTCCAACAACACTTCATATCTGCAAGAAAACCTGAAACCACATTTTCTTCTTTTTGACTCTGTCCAGCTACAAGCTCTGCCGCAGTGTGTATATACAAATGCCATTAGCTTCAAAGAAGGAATAATATCTAGCCACTTGGTTAAAATTTCAAGTGTGCAAAATTTTTCACTGTGGAACTGGGAAATGTTGGACATTTGAAATCTTAACCTATTGGCTAGACATTCTTCTATCTACTTTCTCAATTAAACACTACTAAGATTCAGACCATTGGGAACATATATTCCTTTCTGATTTTTAGATACTTCTGCAAAAGCCATCGCTTCATACACACTATAGAAGAGAAGGTTTTCTTCTTCCTTTTTGCAATATTCTCCCTTGGTTAGGGAATCCCTCACAGACGGATTGCACTGAGCCAGCAGAACCTGGATTCCAATGGCTTCATAATCTCTGCGAACTTCTTTTAGTGTGTGGATCCCTGCTGTATCTAAAAATTGAATTGCACTGCAGTCAATCACTATAGTATGCAGCTCCAAGGGATCATGGGAAAGTTGCACTGACATTTCATCCTGGATTCCACCAGGAGTCACTACTTCCTCTTTGATCTTTCTCTTTGCTGCCTTCTTCCAAGCCACCTTTATTAAGATTGGGTTGACAGTTTGTTTGTATAAAGCAGATTTAAAACATTCTTTGTTTATGTAATAGAGAGGGGCTACAAAGCGGAAAATCTTGATGCCTGGCTTAGTCTGAAGGTTCTTATAAGCAGACACGGATTCAAAGACCTCAGACTCTTCCACCAAGCCAAGCAATGAACTCTTTGGCTTCTGAGTGCGGAGGATGACACAAAACATAGAAAAACAAACCCCAACAAGTAGGCCTATTTCAGTACTTAGCAGTGCAGAGGAGAGCATAGTAACGAACCAGATAACTGTATCCATTCTACTAATATTCCACATTTTGGGTAGATCCCTAAATTTACGAAGGGCTCCCCGTAGATTTACAATTGTGATCACAGCAAGGACACTTTTTTGAAGGGAATAGAATAAAGGAGCTATTACTAGGAGGACCAACAAAAGAACCAGGGCTGTTACCACACCAGAAAGCTGAGTTTGGCAGCCTGTTGATTCTTTAACTAATGTCTTTGCAAGAGCTGCACTAGTAGTAAAACAGTGGAAGAAGGAAGGGATGATATTACAAAAGCCAATGGCATACATTTCCTGGTTTGCTCTGACCGTGTAACCATGTTTCTTGGCAAACATCTCAGAAAGTGATACAGTGATAGCAAAACCAATGATGGAAATAGCTATTGCATCTACAGCCACACTAGGAATTAGGTTCCATTCTGGTACTTTGGGTGGCATAAACCCAGTGGGAATATGTCCAGCAATACTAGAATTATAATTCTCATGTAGTTTTCCAAAATGAGAGGCTAATGTGGCTGCCACAACAACAACAAGTTCAATAGGAATCGGTGCCTTAAGCTTGGACTTGAAGTGTTCATTGAGTTCTTTGGTTGGCAAAAGAACCAAAAGGCACAAAAGGCTGGTGATAAGATCACAGAGATTGGTCTTATGGATGTTTCTGAAGACATGTATCCAGGTAGTGATGAGTGAGCCCACACCATTACTCCGAGGAAGGTTGAGCCCAAGGAGATACTTGGCCTGAGATGTAAGAATAGTGAAGGAGGCACCAGTGACAAATCCACTCAACAAGGCATCTGAGAGGTAGACAGAAACAAAACCCACTTGAAAGAGGCCCATCGCTACCTGGAAGGAAGGATATAGAAATGTTAAATATAAATGGAAAAGAACTTTTAAAGTTTGTATTATCCTGATATTTCTTGCATGCAGACATATCATCAGAGCATCACAGAATGTCAGTGCTAGAATAAACACAATCATACATCAATCTTCTCATTTTACAAATACGAAAATTATGTTTAAAGGGCTAAGCAACTTGCCCAAGGTCACACTGTTACTTATTAGCCCAGGTGAGACAGGAACTTTAGATTTCTTTCTTTTCATACAATGTTTCTTAAACTTGAAAAGGTTCAGACCTCTTTTATTTTTATTTTTCATTTTTCCCATCACAAAGAACAGACTTCTTTTAAAAGAAAAACATTCTCAAGGATCCACAAGAAAACTTCAAATTGGAAAAAATTCTTCTAGTTAAGAAACCATGTATTTTCCTTAAATTATAAATCACTACTGTAAAAGTGAAGTCTTACTGCTTTCTTAGCCCCTTGGCTAAGAGCAAGTGTACAAGTGAAATTTTAATTGGTAAAACAAAAAACCAGATTTACATCAAAATAGAATCACACTTTAGAAATTATTGTAGAATTATCTTTAACCTCATACTAAGAAACCATTCTCATGCAGTATATATGTACTTATGCCACACTGTCTCCCATATTAATAAAAATTCTAAAATTTTACTTCTTTATATTCTCCTCCATCTAATAAGTTTTCAGAATTGTTATGCCTTCCTCCTTCTTGGTAAGACATACTAACAAAAAGGCAAAAGTTGGCTGGGCGTGATGGCTCAGCATTGGGGGAGGCAGTGTTGAGAGGATCACTTGAGCCCAGGAGTTTGAGACCAACCTAGGTTGGTCATAGAGAGACCCTGTCTCTTTATAAATAAATGAGTAAATAATAAATAAGTAGACTCTGAGAAGCACAGCTCTTCTTCACACCATCTTCACTCTCCCTCCCCACTCACCTGATCTCCAACTAAAGTGAGCTACTCTTCCCCTCCTCTTGTTGGTTTGAAATGCCTGCATTAGAGAAGGTTTAATCCTGGCACTGACTCCTGGATGCCAAAGCCAGGGGCATGATGATAATGACAGATTAGTGGATTCTATGGGAGACTCAAGAATTTGATTTCTTATCCTTTCTCCTGGCTGATAATATGAAACTGTGGTCCCCAACTTTTTTCCTCCCTCCCCAACATTCCAAGACAACCACTACCTTTAGTAAGAGTCACTCAATAGATCAGTAATTCTAATGGAAGGTAAGAGACATTTAGAATTTGAGGCTGGGTGTGGTGGCTCACACCTATAATCCCAGCACTTTGGGAGGCCAAGACGGGAGGATTGCTTGAGCTCAGGAGTTTGAAACTAGCCTGGGCAACATGGCAAAACCCTATCTCTACAAAAAAAAAAAAAAAAAAAAAAAAATTAGCCAGGCATGGTAGCATGTGCCTGTAGTCCTAGCTACTCAGGAGGTTGAGGTAGAAGGATTGCTTGAGCCAGGGAGGCGGAGGGTGCAGTGAACTAAGATAGTGCCACTGCACTCCAGCCTGGGTGACAAAGTGAGACCCTGTCTCCAGAAAAAAAAAAAAAGTGAAAAACTCCTGCACTCTCAACCCCCATTTTGTTACCTACTTGCCTCACTGCTAATGCTGACTCTGCCAATAACCAGCCACAAATAATCTCAAGCAAAGCCAAGATTTTCTGACATGTAAAATTAAGGAGTTGTACTGGGTGGTGGAGGTCCAGTGAACCAGCCTTATGTTACCTGTGGAGTCAAGGTTAAGGTTTGAATTTTGCCTCTACCCTTCATACATCCTGAACTCTCAATAAATGGTAGCTTTAATTATTGTGATTCCTACGATCCCTTACAGATATGAGATTTCATGTACTAGACTACTTTTCTAGAAATAACCAATTGTTTCATTGCTCCTTACCTGATAAACTCCAGCCATAAATGTTACAGAGCTGCCAACCATAATTGCATAGCAACTTTTGTCACATATCCTCTCTGATGTGTGATTTAATAACATGCTCCCATTTGAAACCATTCCTAAGGAAGGAGCACTATGGGCATTGTCATAGCCAGCTTTCTGTAGCTCTCGGTCAACTGTCTCACCAATCATAAGGCACAGTACTCCAAAAATGCCCACAGAGATGTGACGGGAGGTACCCAAGAGGAAATAAATGATGCTGGCAAAAAAAGATGTGTACAGACCATAGACAGGTTCTTGGCCAGCCAGCAGGGAATAAGCAATGGACTGGGGCACCAATAATATGCCCACAATCAAGCCCGACATCACATCCCCTAAAATGTTTTTCTTTAGGTCGTATTTTGGGAGCCACTGCAAAATAGGAAGGAAACCTAAAATCATATTTTTGGCTTTGGCTGGACTGCACTGGCAATTCTTCTGCAGCTTTTTAATAACAAACTCCTTGAAGTTTGTATCTGATTTCTCTTGACACTCAATAAGGATCCTATGATAAGGTCTGCATTGATCATTGGTCTCAAATTGCTTGAAGTCAGTACTTGATTCCCTTTGAAGCTCCAGATGGATCCCAGATGGAGAACTGTCATTTCCTTCAGTTGAGTCTCTGGGTGAAAGGTCATGTTGCTCTTTACTTTCCGAAGACATTTCTGGAGATAGATGGTTCAGCTTCCTACACCAGAGAAAATGCCAGTGTAAATACCAGTGTTCATCAATAAAGTAATTCTCAGTGCTCACATAGACTAACAATTCTACTTGTCATTGCATGAGAGTTCAGAGGAATTCCGTTTTGGAATAGGTATCTTATGTCCCTTTTCTTTAATTGAGCCTCATTTGTCTTGGTTAGGGGAAAAAAAAAGACCAGAACCAGACCATAAATAGCCAAGTCAAAGCAAGTAACTGGCTGGGTACAGGACTTCCCAAGAGTATAAACCATTAAGGATTCTTCTCCATATATGTCTGGCTCCCCCTGACAGTTTTTCCTCCGGAAAAGATGTAAGGGCAGCCTGTCTCCTTTCCATACATATGCTACCAGTGGTCTTCTTCCCAGGTTTTTCACCTCCCAGGCAGACTGCAAAATAGGATCTGGTCTTAACCCCTACCTTAACCTTAACCCTGACCTACCAGTCCCTGAAACAAGGAAGATGGTCCTTTTTTATCTTTTGGTCCCTTTGTAAACAACCTGCTAAATGTTGAAAATAAATAGAAGAAAAAGTAGTTTGCAAGGTAAAGATAAATGTTTTTGGCAATAAAAAGAAACTAAGGCATAATGCATTTGCATCTTTGAACAGTACTCCCTTGCTTGGTAGGAAAGAGGAGAGAAGTCGATATGAGGGTGCTGAATGTAAAGGGCATGAATAGGGTCAATGGGCCAAGTGTCTCATACATGCTGTAGAAGGTTTTGGTCTATTCCACTATGTTCTAGTATGGAGTCATCTGCCCTGTGGGCAGGGCCCACATTCATGCAAGATTCACTGTACTATTCTAAGTACACACTCTGAAACACAGGTTGAATAGAGAAATAATGTTGCCCTGCACTTCCACTGGGAGGCAATACAGGTGATCCTCCATCTCTGTGTCCTAGACTATAAAACTAATGCCATAAGATCTACCACTAGGAACTACAGGAAAACAAGGGAGGTAAGAATAGCCAAAAAGAGAGAAAGGACAACAACAAATAATAAGTCTAATAACCAGAGTAAGAGAAGAAAATGAACCAGGCTCTCAAAGGAGTAGAGCATAAATTGTTTACCAACTACTTCATGAATTAGTGCCTTTACATACGCTGTTTACTTAGCTTAGAATGGCCATCTACCTCTTCGCCTGTCATGATCCTAATAATTTTTTTAAAACCCAGTTACAATGCTACCTTTTCCGAAAGCACTAACCCATCTCCCCTAGCCCAAACGAAATACTACACCCTCTGTGTCCCATAGCATGTTGCACCTCCATCATAGTACTAACCACACCCTTGTATTAGTGGAGTAGGAATCTCTCTAGCTCCTGGAGGAAAGACATGTTGTTCATCAGTGTAATCTGAATGTAATGTAGTAACACTGAGATAGCAGGCTTACAAAACATTTGAATGAATGAATGAACAAATGAACAAACATTTGTGACTGTGGCCAGATAGAGACAATTCTTTTTTTTTTTGAGATAGAGTTTCACTCTGTCGCCCAGGCTGGAGTGCAGTGGTTCTATCTTGGCTCACTGCCACCTCCGCCTCCTGGGTTCAAGCAATTCTCCTATCTCAGCATCCTGAGTAGCTGGGATTACAAGTACAAGCCACCACCCCTGGCTAATTTTTGCATTTTTAGTAGAGACAGGGTTTCACCATATTGGTCAGGCTAGTCTCAAACTCCTAACCTCAGGTGATCCACCGCCTCAGCCTCCCAAAGTGCTGGGAATACAGGCACGAGCCACTGCGCCCAGCTGAGACAATATATTTTAGATGAAGGACTCAGGAAGTTTCTTGTTTTGGAACTGACAGAAAAATGGGCCCTTGTGAGGTTCTATAAACCTAATGTTACAAACTGCCAAAATCCAGGACCTATGACTTATTCAAGAACACAAGATATGTAAAAGTAACCCATATTCATTTTGTTTAGGTTTAACAAGAGTAAATATTTTAATGGTCTTGTGAAGTAGATAAGGAAAGAAAGAATAGACTAAGGTGACCACTGGCCCCGAGAAAATCAATCAGGTTGATGGATACACCCAGCAGCTCTTTGCTCCACAATGCAACCAGTCTGCGACTTTCCTGTCATTTCCTGCTTTCTTGAGCTAGCTTGAGTGCACCAATGTCCTGTTTTGGAGAGCTCTTGGTGATTTCTGGGTCAAAAGGTTTTTACAAACTTAAGATATGCAAAAGACACATAAGAAAAAACTAATGGAATCCAAACCTTGCCCTATATGGCTGCTATCTGGGAAGAATATAGATAAAAATTAATACTAGAAAGTAAAACAAAGAAATGGAAACTGTAAGAGAAAAATCAAACAAGGAATGCTAAAAGTGAAAAACACAGTAACAGAGATGATGAATACCTCTGATAGGATCATTAGTAGACCTGAAAGCTAAAGAAAGAATCAATGAACTCAAAGACAGGTAAATAGAAATTACCTAAACTAAAATGCAGAAACAGTTTAAATAACAAAACAAAACAAAACAAAAAACCCCCAATATCAACAATGTAACATAACATCCAAGAGCTGTGGGACACATCAAAGTATCAAACATATGCATAATTAGTATACCAAAAGAGAGAGAATGGGCAGAAGAAATATTTCAAGATACAATGGCCAAGAAATTTCCAAAATTAATGAGAGACATCAAAATATAGATCCAAGTCACCTGAGGTCAGGAAGTTGACAACAGCCTGACCAACATGGTGAAACCCGGCCTCCACTAAAAATACAAAATTAGCCCTGCGTGGTGGCACACACCTGTAATCCCAGCTACTCGGGAGGCTGAGGCAGGAGAATCGTTGGAACCCAGGAACTGGAGGTTGCAGTGAGCCAAGATCATGCCATTGCACTCCAGTCTGGGCAACAAGAGGAAAACTCCTTCTTAAGAAAAAAAAAAAAAAGAAAAGAAAAGAAAAGAAAAGAAAAAAGGCCGGGTGCGGTGTCTCACGCCTGTAATCCCAACACTTTCGGAGCCCAAGGCAGGCGGATCACAAGGTCAAGAGATCAAGACCTTCCTGGCCAACATTGTGAAACCCTGTCTCTACTAAAAAAATACAAAAATGAGCTGGGCATGGTGGCGTGTGCCTGTTGTCCCAGCTACTCGGGAGGCTGAGGCAGGAGAATTGCCTGAACCAGGGAGGCAGAGGTTGCAGTGAGCCAAGATGGCACCACTGCACTCTAGCATGGCAACAAAGCAAGACTCCGTCTCAAAAAAAAAATTTATATATATATATATATATGTATGTGTATATATATATATGTATGTGTATATATATATAATATATAACAAATATAATATATAATCTATCTCCAAGAATTTCAGAGAATTCCAAGAAGAGTAAATACAAAAACAAAAAGAAAACAAAAACCCTCACCTACACATGACATTCAAGCTGCTGAAAACAAAGATAAAGAGAAAATCCTGAAGACAAAGAAAAAACATATATTACTTATACAGAAACAAAAATAAGAATTATAGCAGACTTCTTATTGGAAATCATGGAGGCCAGAACATGATGGAGTGGTATCTTTATATCACAGAAGTATGTATCTTTTTTAGAAATAGGGTCTTAACCTGTCGCCCAGGCTGAAGTGCAGTGGCATGCAATTATGGCTCACTGTGGCCTTGAACTCCTGGGCTCAAGTGATTGTCCCACCTCAGCCTCCTGAGTAGCGAAGATTACAGGTGTGCACCACCACGCCTGGCTAATTTTTAAACTTTTTTTGTGGAGACATGGTCTTGCTACTAAGCTCCCCAGGCTGGTCCCCAAACTCTTAGCCTCAAGTGATCCTCCCACCCTGACCTCCCAAAGTGCTAGGATTACAGGTGTGAGCCACCCCGTCTGACCCCAGAAATATAACTTTTAACACAGAATTCTTTACCTAGAAAAAATATTTTAAAAGATAAGAGGCCAGGCTGATGGTGTGTGCCTGTGGTCCCAGCTACTTGGGAGGCTGAGATAGGAGGACTGCTTGAGCCTAAGAGGTTGAGGCTGCAATAAGCCATGGTCACACCACTGCACTTTAGCCTGGGTGACAGAGAGAGACTCTGTCATATGAAATAAAATAAAATAAAATAAAATATGAAAAAGAAATAAAAACTTTCTCAGATAAACACTGAGAGGATTTAAGGCCAGCCAACCAGCACCATATATATGTGGGCGGAAGGGGAGAGAGAAAGGAGGGGAGACAGGGAGAGAGACAGAGAGGGAGTGGGAAGGAGAAGAGGAGAGAGGGAGAAAGAGAGAAACAGGCAGAGAGACACACACAGAGAGAGAGACAGTTTCAGGAAGGTTCTTCAGCCAAAAAGAATACACCAATCAGAAATTCAGTTCTACATAACAAAGTCCAGGAAATGGAACAAATGAAGATAACGTAAAATTCATTTTTTCAATTAAAAAATTTTTAATTGCTCTAAAAGGTAACTGTTTAAACCAAAAATGGGAATGTACTTTACAGCATATGCAAAATAAATGTGTGACAACAATCACACAGAATGAGAGGGGGAATTAGGAATTTTAAAGTTTTTTAAAAATTTTCTGATTATTATTTTTTAAATAGAGATGAGGTCTCACTATATATTGCCCAGGCTGGTCTCAAACTCCTGGGCTCAAGTGATCCTCCTACTTTGGTCTCCCAAAGTGCTGGGATTACAGACATGAGCCACCATGCCCAGCAAACTATAAGGTCTTACACTAGATATGAAATGGTATCTTATTTGAACATAGGCTCTGATTAAAGATGTACATTTAAACCTAAGAGTAACCACTACATTTTTTAAAAAGGTATAAATAATAATAGTGGAGATAAAATAGAATCATAAAAAACTCTCAACTCAAGAGAAAGTAAAGGAAGATAATACAAAAAAAACAGATGGAACAAATGGAAAATAGCTAGTAAGATGGTAGAGTTTAATCCAAACATATCATATTAAATACGAATGGTCTAAACATGCTAATTAAAAGTGGAGACTGTCAGATAGGATTA